GAGGGAGAAGCTGGCTTCCCGCGGAGCAGGGAGCCCATCCCAGGACCCCCGGAACCATGACCTGAGCCGAAGGCAGACGCTTAATGACTGAGCCACCCAGGCGCCCCTGAAGTCAGTTCTTAAAAGCCACAGATATGTAGGCTTCCACCACGTCAAACATTTTGGTAACATGTATTACACCCTGTATCCTTTGAAAAGAGAGGATAATTTATAGAAGAGAAACAAGTTCAGTGGTTAGACACTGAACCACATTCACACTCCTTCCCCAGAGTTTGGCAAAGTGATAAAATTAAGAAAAACAATTACAGTTACAACTGGCGTGCCTCCCAGGTACACACCCCCATGTCACCACCTGCAGGGTGCACCAGCATCTTAGCCTCGGGGATGAGGAATCTGAGTCTCCCGGCGGAAGTGCGCTCAACTTGCATGTGGGGGGCAGGGGGAGGGTCTGCGTCCCAATGCAGGCTCTGGGTTTTTCCCAAGGAAGCATCTTTCCCTTTAGCTAGGGATCAAATAAACAACCCTGTAACAATTTCAGTACAAAGCGTTTTTTATTGACATTGTAAGAAACATTGTTCTTTCTCTTTGTTACAAAAGGACTAGGTGGTTCTGAAAGCAAAAGTAGAGTCCACGTGTGGCGGGACTGTGGCCCTGGGCATGAGGTGGGCGCGGGGGCATCGCACGGCTGCAGGCTGATCCAAGAAGGCCCAGGGCCGGCCACATCCGAACACTATGCCTACAATACTTAAATGTATTTACATGTGTTTCTTTTAAAAAAGGATTACACATTTTATTTTTTAAAAATCTAAAAAAGGTGAAAAAAATTAACTTGTTTTTTATTTTACACGTTTGCGGGATACACAACAGTAACTTGTCAGAAGAGAACATCCTCCATCAGTTCAAAACAACACGGGAAACCAGGTTACAAGACAGCTCAGACTCAGCTCCGATCGTGCGCTCTCGGCTGGCCCGGGAGCACGCGGCCTCGAGCTGTGATCGGGCGACAACAACTGGTCCCTCGCATCGACGAGATCAACGTAAAATAAGGCACATACATTGCAAGAATCACAACTCTACGGCTCAAGAGGACGAGCCAACGTATGAGGAGCAGGTGCAGTCTCATTAGCTCTTTAGGAAATAAAACAAAACGGTTTAACAAATAAACACACGGTTCGCACAGACGTTCAACAGGAGTAGCACATAGGAGCCTGCACTGAGAAGTAGGGTGGGACCCTAGTGAGTTGCTGTCGTCACCCTCCAACACGAGGATCGGAGAAGTGGGGAGGAGGCTGGAGGCTGGAGGCTGGGGGTGGGTCCTGCCCGAGACGCCAGGTCTACAGACGGAAGGCTTCCAAGTGGCCCCAACAAACCTCTCTTCCACTGACTGTCAGGTCACATCGCGGCACTCCTGGAAAAGTACACTTTCCTTCTCCCTCCCCCCGCTTCCCCATCTTTCTGAGATTTCCACGGAGAGAAGCCAAAGACTGCACTGAAGTAGGGCTATCTCTGCAAACCTAAGGGCGGAAGGAAGGGAACCAAGTATGAAAACGTGAAGAAAGGGAGCCACGCAGAGAAACACCTGAAACCACAGGACAAAGCAGAGGCACAGGATGACAACAGTCCTCCCCCAGCTGCCGTCCATCCTTCCACGGAGGGCAGGCAAAGTAGGAACTTAGGGTAATTGAGAAGTGCAGGTCACCTCTGGGAGTTTTACTGGGGAGGGACTCTGATGGAGGAGGAGGGCAGGGTGGTCCTGGGGACCACTGTCCTCACTCAGCAGGCTGCAGAACGCCCAGGTCCCAAGCTTGGAAACCAAGAGCAGGGTCAGGCCAAACCGTGAGAGCTCATAAGATCAGATCAGGGCGTAGAGATTCTGCTGTTTGTAGAAAAAGGAGATTCAGGGAACAGACCACTGATTTTGTGACTGGGTCATGACCTGTTTGAGGAACACAGAAAGAGCCTGGCTCTTTTCTGTTGCAAAGTGGTAGATGCCACTCCACTGAGCTCGCATCAGTAGCTGTCTTTTGCTTTTGGGCTCTGTTCCAAAGCAGAGGTGTCCTTTGACTTAAAAGCCGGTGCTGGATGGGGGTGGGGAGCGGGGGGAGAAGTCTCAGCACCCTCCCAACGGTTTCGGGAACATTCAGTCGAAAGCAAACCCAACTTTCTTAGCCACAAAGTCCCAAAGGGCAAATTTACCTCCACGCTGAGATTCTTGGTCCAAATGAGAGATCACAAATGTGAGAAAAATGGGCTGGTGCTAACATTTTCCCCTATCATCTCATGTTTTATTTTACTTCACTTTGTCGAATACTAATTTAAATGACAGGAGTAAAGGGGGAAAAGCCACACAACTGACTCATGAGTCACTTTGGATAAATCCAACTTCCAGAGTCAATAGGATAAAAAAGAGCAGGTAGTCTGAGGTATCAGTATTTTATTTTTAATAGTTTACATATTTTTAAATGTAAAATGCTGGATAATCCATGTACTCTGTACACACATAGTATGTCTTTTATGTGTATCGGCTGCACATGGCAAGTAGCTGCACTTTTTTAGTCTTTAAATGTTTTAATCCAAAACAAAAGTACAAATTAAGTCCGCATGAAGGACTAACTGCCTAGAACATTTAACTTCTTAAATGGATGCATCATTTCATAGATAGGGTGTAAGAAAAGGCATCCACAGAGCTACGAACCATCCTCCCTAGTGCTTTCAAATACTAACAACGGTCAAGGTGATTTATTCCAAATGCCATTGTATGTGAGCTTTTTCCTTTACAACTAAGTTTTATAAATCCCTTAAAATAGGGTACTTAGAATAGAAATGCTCCTTTGCTGTAGTGGAATTAACGTATGTTAATGAGAGAGCCAGTTGCAGGGTCGTTTAAATACCTAAATACTCAGAACTATATATAATCAATTCTCAGTTATCTATGATAACAGGTGAAGAGGTGGAATTATAATCAACAAATATAGCAAACCCACAAACGTTCCCCAAGCTATTTCTATCCAGTAGCTTCACTCTACAATCTACCTCACTTCTTGCCAGAACAGATGGAAGTCGCAGACCCACCGCCCTTCCCCTCTCTCCCTGGAGCGCCAAGCAACGTGGAGCGGTCGTGGAGACAGAGGGAGGAGAAGCAACGTGGGTAACTGAGACATGAGCACATAGATGGACCTGCCCCGAGCACACAGACGGACAGGAGGAATTCTAAACCCCAACCGTGAGCAAACTCGTTCATCTGCCAGAGCCCCAAATTCCCGCTTGTGTGCAACCGTAGAAAGCATGCCCTGACCTGAATGGGGGCGGGGGGGCACGTCAAAAATTGGTCATGTCTGCTAGAGCCCACCCACAAAGGATTCTTCAACTCACTATCCATAATCTGATTCTTGTGCCCAATGTGGGAATTACCAAGAAACAAAAACAAAAACAAACAAACAAAAAAACCCAACAACCAAAAAAACACCCAAGAAAACAAAAAAAACAAAAAGAAACATAGAGCACATGTAAAGGAAAATTTAAAAAAGCTGGAAGCGTAACCCCTTGGTCCAAAGCACACCAACTCCTATTTCCTTTGAGTAACAGAGAAACACGTCAAATCCTCTCGTTTGACCCCTCTTCGAAAAAAAGAACATGCACATCACACATTTACACTGGTTTACTAAAAAGGCGGGGGGTGGGCTTACAGTTAAAAAAAAAAAAGGAAACAAAGAGGATGATTCGAGTGTAACAATACTGATTCAAAACTGAAATGGAAGACAGTTTCTCCCTAGAATACTTTAGGGTTGTTCAGAGTCCTTTTCCATAAAAGGAATATACTTGAAACACATCCCAGTCAGGTGAGATGAGATTGCTAAAATACATACAGAACTAAAAACAAAAACAACAACAACAACTAAACAACAAACCAGCCAAAAACCGAGTCCATTTAATCTTTTATACTCCTAAAGTTTCACGCTGGTTGGCAGCCTTTCTCCTAACGCCTACTGCATCACTGCAAGGAATTTGCTTTCTTCCGCGAGGGAGGTCAGCAAAGAGCTCATGTCCCCGATGGCCATGTTGGTGGTGCTCACCGACAGCGCGGGCAGTGGGAGGGACGCGCGTGGCGTCGTGAGGCGGGAGGAGCTGTGGGAAAGGTTCTGAATGATACTGGGGCTCAGGGCTCCTGACATCAGGCTGGCATGGTCCCCATCGTCTATGATAGCATCAAAGTCAATCTGCACCCCTTCCAGGTCATGGCTGTCGAGGCTGTCAACCGTGCTCGTCACCTGGTTAGCACCTGGGGAAAGTAATTCAGAGTTTTCGGCGCTGGCCCCCGGTAGCAGGCAGTTGGCTTCTGAAATGGAGAATGAACCAGTTTTCATGTCTTGCTGCTGACTGAAGCCAACGGTTTGGTCATAGAACTGACCAGAGTAACTCTGCGCATTCGAACAGAGTGGATGGGGCTGCCCGTGCATCTCCATCTTGACGCCATTCACCCTGCAGGTCGGACTGGTGTCACTGAGCTGTCCCTGCTGCAGAGCGAGGCTGCCCCTCAGCACAGCCTGGCGCCTGATGCCCCCATAGCCGGCACACGCCTGGTAGCCCCTGGAAGCTGCCAAGCTGGACGGCTGGCTGCCGAGGCAGGGGGGCCCTGGCAGGCCGCTCTCCGGCCCTTGATAGATATTGATGTGTGAGGTAGCGCTAACCTGCCCTAGCATCTGCTGGCCGGCGCGGCCTGCCCCTTGGTGGTCACTAAGCAGCTGAGGGGCCGGGTACCCCTGGCCCACCAGGTCTTGGGGCGCCATGCCATTCACGGCACCGCCCGCTGACTCATTGGGTGCCACCGACAGGCCAAAATCTGGCTGGCTCCCGTTCGCCAGCACCGTGGCGCTTTTCAGCTTTGCTGCTTGAATCCCGGCACCACAGGCCCCGTCGAGCAGGCCGGGGGCCCCGGGCTGCCTGTTGAGGCAGTTTCCATATGGCTGGGCCTTGTAGGGCTGTTCATGGAAGGCGTTCCCATTGGTGCCAGGCCCACTGCCTCCACTGCCGTGGCTCACCAAGTGCTCTGGGCTGCCGTAGGAGCTGCCGGGCTCGGCGAGGGCCGGATACCCCCCGGCAGGGCTGGCCCCGCTCCTCAAGGGATGCTGTGGGTGGACGCCCATGTTGCTGTAGAAGCCGAAGGCTCGGGCCTGCTGTGCTGCAGCCCGATGGCCACATTTCAGCTTGGAAGAGCACAGGTCGGCGCTGCCGGAGCTGACCTCATTCCACTGAATGGGCAGGTCGGATTTGCTGGCTTCCGGGCAAGGCTGCTCGAGCGGCCGGTACTGCTGGCTGGCGTGGCCGGCGTGGCCAGCATGGCCGTCTGGCAGCCCGGGGGGGTCAAAGTCTCCATGCCCACTCCCCAGGCCGGGCCCATGGGGCATTTTGCCATCATCGGAGACGGCGCTTTGGAAGGGCTGCTCATACCCTGCTTGGGTCTGGGCATTTAAATACTGCACCACATCATCGGGCAAGAAATCCTCCTCGTTCAGGTTCAGCTCGGTGTCCATGGTCAGAGACTCCAGGGTGACGTTCTCGGTAATGCTCGGAGGACAGGGAGACGCAGGGAAGTGGCGGGGCTGGCCGCCCTCGGGCCGCGTGTAGTTCTGAAGCACTAAGTTGCGCTTTTCCAGGGAGGGAGGCAGCACCGGAGGGCTGAAGCTCTGCAGGCTGCTGAAGCGCTGCACCCGTGGCAGGGAGAGGCTCTCGGACACCGTCCTCACCGGGTCGCTGGCCCTCCTCACGCCGTTACCCAGCCCATCGGCGGGCAGCAGAGGGCGGCGGCCGTGACTGTGGGCGCCCCCGTCGCTACACCTCCGCGGAGGGTGCACTGGGGGCAGGGCCCCCGCGGGCTCCCTGCCGTCCCCAAGCAGGGCCATCCTGGTCTTCAGGCTCATCCTCTCCATGTTAGGCAGCGGGGTGGGGGGCGGCCCACCCGTGGCCGCCGCGTACTTGGCTTTCAGGCGGTACTGCTGCGCCGGCGTGAGGCTGAGCAGGCTGGGCAGCCCGTCTCCCTGGCTGGCCTCGCTGGACCTGCGTGAGGCGTCGGTGGAGATGGGGTCGTAGGAGTCGGCCACGCTCACGTTCTGGGGCCGGCCCTCGGCCTGGGACGCCTCGCTGGATCTCCGGCTGGAGAAGCAGGGGGAGATGCCTGAGGAGCGGCGGCTGCTCAGGTAGGCAGAGCTGATGGTGCTGGTGTTGCTGTCCCTCCGGTTGAGCATGTTCAACATGGTGATGTCCACGCCGGAAAGGTCGCTTCTGTTTGGGAGAAGAGTCACGGGCCCGCCCAAGCTGCAGCTGGTACTGGGCTGCGTGCCTGCAGAGAAAAGGGTGGGAGACGTGCAGTCATTTCGGGAGGACTGGAAACAGGTCAGGGTGCAGGATGGGGTGAAGCCAGTTTCGGGTTCCCTGGGCCCGGAAGCATCTGCCACAGCCCCCTACCTCTGCCGTGCAGCCCCAAAGGGCCCAGGGAACCGTGAAGGAGTAGGTGCAGCTGCGTTGCCAAGAATCTTTATTTATGAGTTCGCGGGAAAGTTTGCAGACCCCTGGCTTAAACAGAACAGTAAACGCAGCCTGGATCACTTAAGCTCCTTCACAGGTGCAGGGCACAGTGCTCGGGGGCCAGGCAAGTCCAAGGCCAAAGGCATTCGGGGAGTGTCCTAACTACTCAGGGCTTCCTCTGACATCCTGTGAAGGTGGAGCACGCCTGGGTTGGGGGTGGGGAGCTTCACCCTTAAGAATACGCTCCAGGCAGTGAGTGTCATCTCAGAAGCAAAACCTGACGTAGGGCTGCCAACATGCAAGGCTGCCTGGCCTTCCTTGACCTGGGAACACGTCAGTCAACGTGGCTGCTGAGCTCCTGGGTGCAGACGGGAAACCGGATGGCAGTGCTAACCCCAGATGTCTCTGCTGGAGGGAGTTCCTCAGCCTGGCCCAATAGTTATGATCTCACCGTGAGAACATGAGTCACGCACAGAGTGAGCATACTGGGCGCTACCTTCTGTGTTGGCAGTATCCCCTTACCACCTGCTTTTTTAAAATATGGACTCTCCCAGAAAGGCAACACCGATGTGTGTGGTGATGGCAGAATTTCAGGACCGGGTCGGGGGGACACACAAGCACACACCGAGCGGCTTGGGTGCACAGACCGAATAGAAAGCCCGGAGCCAACGTGAGGTGGGGCAGGGACTTACCGTTTCCCATGAGGGGAGACACTGCAGGGGCTTTGGGGGGTAGGACGGGGTTCAGTCGTGGAAGCATTCCATTCACTTGTTTGAGCCTTTCTAGTTTTACGTGCTCCATCCATTTGGTCCCTGCCGGGTTCCTCCTGGCTTGCAAGGCCAGGGTGGTGGTGGCCGTGGAAATGGTCGAGTCCATGACTGGGGTTTCGTCGATGGCACCGAGGTCCCCCACACTACCTCCGTCGGTCAGAGGAAGCTCGAGCCCACTGCTGGAATAGTTGCTGATGGGGGACTGTTGGTTGCTGCATGAAGACTGACCACCAGGGCTTGGCTGAGATGTCTGCTGGGGTCAAGGGCAAAGGCAAGAGACGTCACCGGGCAGGAGAAAGGCAGGGGAGCTCACGCAGACGCTCAACCTGCAGGGGGCTCCGGGGGTGGCGTGAGGAGAACCGTGTGCCGGGGAATGAAGGCGGCCTCTCTCAGCGGCAGCAGCTGAGGGGGTGCCAGGCGGATGTGCGGGGGCGTGGGAGGGGACAATGGCAGCGGGGCGTGCTGAAGAGGGCGGTGGTGACCGGCACGACATCAGCCACGGAACTCTGCCCCAGGTGCCAACTCTGCCAAACAGGCTTCCTTGGCTCCAGTCCCACTTGCACGACTTGACTTGATTCTTTGGGCAAAATACTCAGTCACTCTAGTCCTGTTTCCTTATCTACCAAATGGGGACAACTTAATCAGTCTTCGGGATTGTGGCAGGAATTAAGTGTCAGGCTCAGAGAACACACGAAATACATAACGACCTGGGAAACGGTTCCTAATTGGCTCTGTGGGCATTCGCGGCTCATCTGACCCCAGGGGGCTTTGGTCCACAGGTTCGTCCTGCTTGGCTACAGCGTCCGTGGGAGATGGGCACTTGAGGCACACATGACCTCCTCTCCCGTGAGACCCTCTCTGAGCTGCTCAGGGCTGGTTCCCCAAGCTCTGTGCAACCTCCCCTCTTCTGTCTACACCTGCCTGCTCTGTAGAACCCCAACCAGGCTGTTCACAGAGGCAGCCGTAAGAGGCAAAACTTCAATCCCTTGGCTTCCGCCGTACCCAGAGGGGAAGAAAGGCTGCAGGTTACAGCCATCCGATTCTGGGGAATAATCTTACCGTTTCCCCCAAGTGCCCTGGCGTTTCTCTGGGAGAACAGGGCAATGTTTCCCTCACCCCAACTGTGGACTGTATCAGCCAGTTCTGCAACTAGATAGAAACTTGATCCAGGGCACTGGCGCTCCATCAGGGAAAGGAACCCCCCCGCCCTGGGACTCCGGGAGACGGGGAGTGGAGAGCTGGTGATCCTCAGGTCTGGGGGGCCGGGGAACACCAGGTAAAATGGCCCTCAGTGACTGCTCTGCACAACCTAGAACCGCTCTAAAATTGCACTGGTGAATTCAATTGGCTGAGAAACAGTATAACCCCTTTTGTGTGGATAAGGAAAGCACCTTCAGTGACTGCCCAAAATAACAAAGTCACAAAGTCAATGCTAAGACTAGCCTAGACTCCCAGCCCGGTACCACAGAGCCCTCTCCAGCATTACTGTAACAACTGGAACCTGAGAGCAGCCCCAAGAGCCGGTTCTCCAGGGAGAGAGAACCACAGGCACTCAGGTACGGACTCCCACTGTTGTCCCAGATGGGGTGCAGAGCACTGTTGGGAAGGGCTTTTAGGCACAGGGCTTCTCCGTAGAACCCATCACACTCGTTCTGCAACCACACTACATACAGCCAAGCAGATGAACACTTTCTAAGAGAGTGTCATGTGATACACTGAATCTGCCCTGGGCAACCAAGCAGAGCCAAATGAGATACACAAATCTGATGGTGAGTTCAGGAAGCCTCGCTCACATTTCGCTTCAGCAGAATCCTGGAGGGCCAGGCCACCTGCTCCTTCCCAAGGTACTTGGAGCATGCAGGGCTTTGGAGGTCTTTGACTCTTGGACTGTCAGCTCAGAGTGTGTGCAGCTGAATCTGTGTGCGCGTGTGTGTGTGCGTGCACACGCATGGCAGACTCACGCCTCCACAAGTCACGGAAGGAGGCACAAAGGCATTTACAACCAGAGAGCTACTCAGAGGAGTCAGACATTTCCATACAGATTAAACTGCGAACAACAAATGTATCCAGATCGTCCTCAAAGAGGGTGGTACCGGTCTGGCCTCAGAATGAATTTACATGTGTCAATTTGATAATGAAATAGTCTTTGAGAACATCTGCTTGGTTGGCCGGCTGTGATTTGTTATGAAAACCTAGACAAATAGAACAATGAATTTCACCATCTAACTCCACATTTCCACATGCTGAATGGTCAAAACACATTGCCTCTATGTTTGAAATGTAGCTGAGTAATGTTCTCTACCAAAGATATCACAAAGCACAAGAACTAAAGAAAAATCAAATGCACAGAAGTTAAATGTTAAAACAAACACAAAACAAAAAGAGCAGAGAAGCCAAAATTCCCTCACCTTATTACCCACTGTCCTTAGGAAGTGAGAACAAGACATTTAGGAGCATTACACAGAAGAGATGTGGAATTAATAAGAAAAAAGAAGAAAGAATTTAATTCATAGCACAATGATCAAAGACACGTTTTTAAAGAAAGAATATTAGACATGTAAATTTTATATGCATTAGTAAATGTCTACGAAGCGATCTATTTATATTTACATGTGTATGGACATATACAGGCAAAATAATCCCCTGTGGGAAATTTGATTAATTTATTAGGCTTACCTATAAATATGGAGCCTTGTCTCAATCTCTATGATCCCTCCCAGCCTATGTTTCTGTGATTTCATTACTTTATAAAATAGTTCACATCTTGGGGCATCTCAGATGTCACTGAGCCAAATAACTATACGTTCTTACTTCTACCAATTTTCTTTTTAAATAATGGGTATTTGGAGAGGAGATGACAAGTTTTCTTGAGCTAGGGATATACATTCAAGGTACAAGAGGTTCTGGGTCCTTAGGACGTCCGAAGAACATAAATCATTGTCTTTTGATGACATAATCTAGGAGACTACAAATTCATTTTCCTTGTTTCATTAAACATTTGAGGATAAACTGTTGAATGTTCTGCACGTTGTACAGGTGGACTTTATTTTAGAAAATGGATATGTGGTCCCCCAAAAAAGTATGTACAACACTGCTCATGAACTGATTAATTTTACAGTATGGTGATGGGTCATAATACATACGTCCACTTTTGACTAAGGTGCTTTTTATTTATTTATTTTTTATTTTTTGACTAAAGTGCTTTATATTTATTTTTCTTTCTTTCTTTTGACGAAGGAGCTTTTTAAAAGCAAAATATAGCTACCCACTGGGAAGTCCTGATAAATCTGGATAGCTTATTTGTATTATTTTTGGCTACACTTAACGCCATCTAAAACTCTTAAACTCAGTAAGTCATTAAAATTCAACTGATGATTAAATTGCACTCAGTCAACTCTGGAATTGTACATGTGCATTATTTCCTATCCATAGGTACTGCTGGGTGGTGACATCACTCAGGAACTCCTAGGATGTCCATCCAATTGCTGGACTTTTCTAATTTTAAGAAGAAACTTCCTGAAACTAAGTATAGCTATGTCTGGCTGACCACTCCCGTGCATCTGGAAATCCAAGCACACGACTTCTATCTGGTGTGTTTCCTCCATATACAGAGTGCCAGACGAGACCCCAACACACTCGCGGAGCTGACTCCGTTACGTACACTGCCAAATACAAATGTACCGAAGCTCTTCCGATAGCTACTCTTTTCATTATTCTTGTTGCCTTTCTTACAGTTTTAGACGTTTTAGTATGGCGCATCCTTAACAACAACAACAAAAAAATCACCAAGGGAATTTTGCAAGAAGCTGCAATAGTAGCATAATCCATATATCAGTCTGGTGACTGATATGTCCCCAAACCAGAATGATATCTCCTGATGGCAGCTTTCTATCATCCCCTGCGCTTTACCTCGGTTCAGGCGCCACTGCACAAACGGTCTCCAGTCTACCAAGCCCATCCTGAGCCTGGCAAAGGGGGTTGGCTTTTCTAAAGATCAGCTGTGCCAGGTCATTTGCCATCACCGGTAAAATATAAGCTCTTTGTCCTCCTCACTCCTTTTTACTCCTGCACATGGTCCTGGGGCCCCACGGCTCCTGTTGCAGTGCCCTGCTCCCCAGGCCCTGCGCCTTCCCCCCCCGAGTGCCAAACTTGAGGGCCACCCACTCTGCCGCCCCCATCACATCCTCAAGTGCGCTGGTGGTTTGTTCCCCTCTCGAATGCTCTCACACACACTCCTGGGAAAGACCCATCACACTGAGTTGTGAGTAATTTGCTTTTTGGTGGTCTGTCTAGCCCATGGGACTGTAGACGCCTAAAGAATAGGGACTGTGGCTTTTTTATCTCAGGGTCACCAGGGCAAAGCACAAAGCAAAATACTAATTTACAGAAAGACGGAATGGCTGATTTTCTACATTACAGGTCTACTGAAAATGTAGACAGTCATGCCTTTCTTTCTACCTGCCACGATGTGGTATGGTTCCAGACTGATTTTAAAAACCAGTTAGCAAACCCTGACGTTCTTTTCTGAGTTATTCTATGCCGATGAACCTTAAGTAAGGAATCCGGGTGTCTGAGCTCCCGACCCCTTCAATCAGAGAGCCCAACGCAGTGAGGACCCAGGCAGTCTAGTTCCTCCTCAAGCCCTCGCTGACTTTCTAAAATGACCTAGGTTGGCTTGGGGACAAGCAGAAGGAAAGTGAATGACATACCATGGGCTTCTCTGCCTTGACTGCTTTCACCTGAAGGCATTCTTCCCGCTTTGAGGTAGTGTTGCTGAGGTCCTTCTGCTCCCCAAGGGCTCCCTGAGTCTGCCGGCCGGGCGACCGGGACTGTGAATGGCTGCCGGAATCACGGGGTGGGGGGGGCCGAGGATGAATGTCCCCACGCTGCTTCTTGGTGACATGAGCCTCTGGGCCATGCACTGTCTTCACGTGCTTCCGGAGGGAACTCGGGTCTGTGTAGCGCTTCGTGCAGCCTGGGATTTTGCACACATATGGTTTCTGCCAAAAGCCACAAGAACAAAATAAGAGATTGTTATCAAAGCGCTAATGCCCCAGTCCAACAATCTCATGGACACACACTATAACTTTCTTTCAAAGCACTTCCACAAAGCTGGGAAGTATTAAGATACCTCTGGGTACTAAGGGTTTAATAAAGGCCGTTTGAACACTGCTCAGGGGCCAGTGAATCTAGCTTTAATAGACTATTATTTTAGACAATGCTCAAGGAGAGCTACAAATGTGCAAATCACCTGTATGTGCTTGGCAACATTTATCCTATGAGTAGGAAGAAGGATCCTGGTGTCGGGGTAGCTTCTCAATAGGTATTTGAAGACGGTGATGCGGAAGGCGATGATGATGATGATGGTGACAACTACAGAAGGCTCAGACCCCCATCACCTCATCAGAAGAATGCTATATGCCTTTGGGAGAATTTGTGTGAAGAAATTTCTTAGGGACTCCTGGTTCTCCGCTCAAAACTCACTACACCCGTTGTGAAAATGTGCACATAGGCATGGTAAAGAAAAATTGCCTATAGCCTCTTCCGTGTTAGATATGACTAAAATATGTCCATTTGGGTCGCATTACAACTGTGTGGGATGTTCGGGGCTCAGAATATCCAGAACTTTTCTGATCCTCATAGTTGTAAAGCCCTGTTTGACCATCTATGAATGCTCACTCACAAACTGAGAAGGGCTGATGGATGGCATCCTGGAAATGAGGACTCCTGTCTGGCTCTGCTCCTGAGTACTAAGGCCTGTTAATTATTTATTCCATGTTCCATGTGGGCCAGTGACTAAACCTACAAATGCAGTCATTAAAAACTCTGTGGATGCTTATAGCTACATTATTTACTCAAATCACAGAATCGTTGGAATTTACTCATGACCAACATCAAAACTGTGATTTTGTTTACCTGGTTTGAAATATAATATATTCATGAATCCTTATAAGAATATATATCTACGTAGACCAGAAGATGAACTATTAGGTAAGCGATAGTCATAAAAAGCATGATTAGTATAATGTACCCATTATATTAAAAGAAGATGTCCTGTCTTATAGAATGTATGTGTCTAAAAGATGCTTTTTCACTAAAAGCCCAAGAACAGACTGAGTGCTACATAAAATGATGAAATGCCCTAATGTAGTGAAGACTCCGAAAATTATCCCGAGAGACTTCACCTCCAAATTTGAGATTCTTTTGGGGAGAATTGATTCCCATTAACTATGAATTACTTCTATTCAGGGGCTGGTGTGATTTGCAGCACATATATAATGAAACGAGCACACCGACTTCTATGCATTAGGGACAGAAGAATGGCTCCAGCAATGAGTGCTATTACCTTACAGCGTCCTGACATCGGCCCAACGCCTGCTCGCAGCACTGCCATGACAGACTGTTCTATCAGCGGGCACGCCAGGATGCATGGAGCAGGTGTCGGGGGGCAGGGGGGCAGAGGGCACGGGGAGAGAGCCAGGCTGGCATTACACGCCTGAGGAGCTACTCTTCCCATAAGTATATGCATGTGTATACCCTGGGTTAGCTTGGAAAGGGGGACACAGCTGGAGGTGGAAAGTCTTTGCTTGCGATCAATGACTGAAATGAAATATAACTGTACGTGGGGATCATAAATGTTGTCAGTCTCACTGAGTTCCCTGTGTCTCCTCTCCTAGACATTCAACTTTTGCCACGGTTGTTTCCTTTTAGACTCACGCAACTGAAGGGTACTTTGTGAAAGTAATTCCTGTGTTTTTTTACTTGACTTTGTAGCATTTATCCAACTAAAATTTCAATAAACGTTTAATGGTCCTCACTATAGGCAAGACTCATATACTGCAGGATTTAATGTCCAGGGTTATAAAATGTGCAGGAAAAATAAGAGAGCATGTAATTATCACCAGGCCCAAGTATGAATGCCACAGAAGGATGTGGACGGAGGACAATCACTTTTTAGTTGGGATGATTGTGGGGAGCATCAGTTACTACGCTTTTATACCTGGGTATAACACCCAGCTCGTGGGGTCTAAGGGTGAAATAAGACAATATATGAAATGCTCATCACGATGTGTTTGTGGCATAGAGTAATTACTCAGTGAACCGAACTTTATTAGGAGGAGGCTCTGTAGCTGGGTCCTGAAAGTAGACCAAAATTCTGAGGGATAAAAATGAAGGTAAGAGGATGTGAAAGGAAAGCCACGGTCCAGAGGCAGGACCGCTTAACGCATGCGGGTGTGGCTGTCTGGTTCCACTCACAGCCACAGAGGTCAGAGGTCAAGCCTGGAAGGGCAGGCTTGGGCCGGGTGCCAGCAGGTACAAGCCGAGAGAATCTAAACTTTCCCTCTAGGAAAGAGGAAGCCACTGGAATGTTCTGGAAAGAGAGATACAACTGAGTCAGAGTTCAAGGATACTTGCCTCGTGTGGCTTTGGGGGGACATGAGCTGTGTGGTCTAGAGTTGGGATCCCTGGCAGAGGCCACTGCTATGGCCCCAATGGGTGAGGCAGCCAAGGAGTGCAGGAGGAAGGCCAGACTGGCTTCCTGAGCGGGAATGACGCCCCTCCTGTTCAAGTCCATGGTATTCTGTTCCTCACCCACAACAACAAATCTTGCGCCACCTAACTAGCTATCGATATTTGTTTAGGGAATGAATGAAAACACAAATAAGAGAGAGCAAATAAACGAAAGAAGATACCTAGATTTATCTAGGACCGGCTCATGACACAAATCTCGATTCTTAATTTTGGTGGATGTGAAGCCGTCCATCATTTATACGGAGGGCCAAAGCCTTGCGTGGTCAAGGTGGTTAACGTATTTTAGATACACTGCTCAACCCTGGTGAAAGATATGATTGAACAGGATAACTTTTAATCTCATAATGGATAAATGCTCATATGGCGCTGTGCTCTTGACCTCACAGAACTGGACAAGCTCAACTCTAATGCATTTGAGCAAAGCAAACAGCTATGCACATAATTTAAGTCCTTAAGAAAGATAAAAAGCTGAGTAAGTACGTGTGTACATGTTCACTGCTAATCCTAACACACCCACTGCCCCAATTTCTCCACAATAACAGGAGGGAAACTTGTCCTAAAAATCCATAGGAATGAATACCTTCTAAATTTCTAGAGTGCAGTTAAATATATCAATTTAATTCTAACTTAATCGAATGCCCTAAAATATTTTAAATTGAGATATAATCCACATACCACAAAGAGAACCCTTTTAAGTTGCACAATTCAGTGGCATTTAGTACATCCACAATCTTGTGCAACTATCACCATTTATCAGTCAAATTCCAGAATATTTCCAACATCCTCCAAAGAAATCCTGTATCTATTAGCAGTCACCCCCTATTCCCTTCCCTCAGTCTCTGGCAACCACTGTTCTGCTTTCCATCTCTACGGATTCGCCTAGACTCCCTAAAACTTTGCACAAAACAAGAACAGCAGATTACATAGCAACCACATGTAGTAAAAGCATTTTTGACATAAAAAAAATGGAGATGTGGCAACTCCCCTAAAGCATCCTCCAACAGCTGATTAATAATAAGAGACTCCAAATGACGTAAGTCTCCTTATTCTGCCATGACCCTTTCAAAAAGGGTCTGTACGTGTGAACCTGCATGTATGAGCTGAAGAGTGACTGTGTTTTTAAGAAAAGTGTGGCTCATCCCATTAAAGATGTGCTTGCTCTGTCCCGTAAACTTAAGGGACACTTGGAGAGTACCTTATAGCCAATGGTCCCTGAGCTATTGAGCCAGGTCAAGTGCTCCTTCTCTCACACTGTCAAACAAACTGATGACCTCCTTAGTGGGGCAGAACTATGTCTCATGTTAACAAATTCTGGCTAAATATCCCATTTCTATGCAAAAGGCGGGGAGCCTTTTTGTTAATCTCTGGATTCATTCAAGAGAAGGCTTCACAGAGGAGCCAGAACTTTGAGCTAGATCTTCTTCAAAGAGAAGTTGGAGGCCTTCGGACAGACATGCATTAAAACCCGGGCAAAATAATTTGAAATCACTTTCATTCTTAAGGCTGCTCTGAAATTCTCGGGGGATGACTATGGACAAACCACAACATAACAGGAACCACCCACCAACCTTGAAACTTTATCCAATATGCGATCTTAAATGACTGACTAGAAACCATTCTGGATTTCTGAGACTAGCTCAAGAGCTTTTGGAATTTAGAATGCCTGGATGTCATGTTTGGCCACGGCTGGTTGCCCTGAAAAGGCCTTTTTTGGCTAGAATGCATTTGAAGATACCACCTGGAGAAAGCAGGGAAAAGTGGCCATCTATCCGTGCTGCTTACAGGGTCGTCCTCTGCAGGAACTCATGCTATTCCAGGCAGAGCAAGTGGGTGGAATGCCAAAGTTAAACGCTCCTACTGTTTGACCAGTAGGTGGCAGTTCTGAACAAGGTGAAACTTGCTTGCCAGGGGTTTGAAGTTCCCTCTGGGTCTGCATTACTCACCAAACCAGGCCCCTTTGCAGCCAGCCCCATGGTGGAGGAGCTCTAGGCCTTCACCTGCAGCCTCAGCGCCCAGTCCTGCTGGGCCAAGAGGAAATGAAACGGAATGGTCCTTGTCTCCAAGTGCATTGCCCGTGAGGGCTCTTTGTTTCCACCCTGAGCTCGGGGCCCAAACAGTGTCTTGTGGGGGAGCCTCACCTCATTGGAATGCGTCCTGTTTTGGTGCTTGGCGCGATCAGAGGCATTTGAGAAAGCCTTGTTGCAACCTTCATGCTCACAGACGTACGGTTTCTCTCCAGTGTGAGATCTCAAGTGCGTTTTCAAGTTTTCTAGTCTCGAGTAGGCCTTTGTGCAACCTTCAAACTGAGGACAACAGGTAAAATGCATTACCCCACACAATAACGGCTTATGCCTAACACTCCCTCAAAATTGATGAAAGACTGACGTTTCGAGGGTCAGCAGCTTTTCAAAACTGAGGAACAAAAGTCTACTAAACTCTGCATTTATTGGGATTCAGATGGGGCTCAGTGCAGTTCAAGAGACAGCATTTTCAGGGCTCCTAAAAAGTCCTGGAGGTTTTTTTGTTTCTCTTTTTCTTTTTTTAAATAGACCACTCAATGTGGACAATGGGTTTCATTATCTGCTCATTGATCTCCTCAAGTTCCCACTGATTTTAGATTCAGCACAAAGTTCACTAATATGGCTTTGTGTCCATACAAAGGCATGGAATTTGATCGTGTTTGTAAAGGGCCTTTAAGATGTAAAGCACAGGGCTGAGCAGTGCCCAGTGCGCCTGGCGGCACCTCGGTGAAAGGAGGCTTAGTCCCAGCCCTCTTGTGGGTCTACACAGGACCATGGGGATGGACTAGGAAGGCAAAGGAAAACTCTGAAGTCACGTGGGTTCTGTTTTTAAAAGTGAGCTTAAGGGTTTCAAGTCAAAGCTGGCACCTCCCTCTGCCCTCCGGGCCTTCTCGCGTGATGGGCATCAGTGCCGGGGCAGGATGCTGGCCACACGCTCACTCCCAGTGCCCAGCAGGGCATCCCAGCTGCCGCCCGCCCGCCTGCCAGTCTGCTGTCCAATGTGGGAGCTGCGTGCCACCGGAGGCTGTTGATATTTACATTTTTAAAAAATGAAATTACAAAAATCAGTTCCTTGGTTGCTCCGGCCAGGTGTCCAAAGCACCCAAGTGGCACACGTGGCCTCCAGCTACCTTGTCAGACAGGGCAGGTCAGAGCGCTTCTGCTGTCCCCCAAAGTGTGGTTGTCAGGGCTCCTTCTCCACTCTGGCCTCCCCCCAATCCCAGAACACCCTCTCAGAACTCCGGGCATTCATCACAGGCCCCGGCTCCTCCCACCGCCTGGCCGGGTCCATCCGCACAGGGTGCAGACACCGCCCCCCCACCGCGGGAGAACCCGAACCCCAGCCTGACACGCGCCCCTGCCAGGTGGCCCCAGGCCCACAGCTCATGCCGCACACTCACAGTGCATTTGTGAGGCTTTTCCCCCGTGTGCCTCCTCATGTGCACCACCAGCATGTACTGGGCTTTGAAGGGCTTCTGCTCTCTCGAGCAATCCAACCACCGGCACACGAATTCCTTCTTCTCGCCGTGAATATGGTCGTTATTTATATGCTGGGATGGGGAAAAAGAAAGGGAAAGTGCGTGGGAATGCAGGACTCATTTCTGAAGGTGACAGAAGGGAGGGCAAGAAGTGCCCCAACCCTCAGCCCTAAGGAATATAGGATAACTTTATATACAGATGATCTTTTTTTTTTTTTTTTGTATGTTTCTTAAGTAAATTTGCCCTTAGTAACCCTGCACGTATATTTCCTAACCAGCAGGAGTGGTGCTATTTGGAGGAGGCCTGGTGGCCCAGAAAAGGTACCTCACAGGGCCTCTGAAGACGGGAGCTGTGAAATGGGGTGAGCCCATGCGTCCTTGCTGGGCCTCCACCTTTTTCACCTGCCGAGTGGGGGTCAAGGTCAACAGAGCACAAGGGAACCCCCCAGCTCCCACTCACTCTGGGCCTCGGGTTAGCGCCGCGGCTGAGATCTCAGGAAGGGAACACACACACGTGCACGCACACACGTCATTCTGTGACAGGAACACCAAAAACCAAAGCGCTTTCTCAAACTATACTTTAGTTCCAATTAGTGGGATTTTTTTCTTTGATGAATCACAGACAAATAAACCAAATACTGAAGAGAACCAGGAGACCAAAGAAATGCTGTCGTCTCTGGATCATAGCCTTCTTGATGTACAAAAACACAGGGATGGCTCACCTAGGCTCCAAGGTTCCTTTCCAGCTCTACAGAACTCTCTTAACTTCATTTGTAAAACAAAGATGAATTTCCCTGAATGCCTCATTAATTCAGTTTTAGAACCATTTTTTATATAGCTCCTTGGGGTCATACCTCAAGGGTCCTACAACGGGAAGACACAAAGAACCCTACAGAAACACCCAAGGAAGAGAAGGTTCTCACCTTGGATCAAATTTAAGTCAGTTTAAGTAAGATGATTATGTGATTTAAATGTCCATTTAATTACTGAGGAAATCAATGTCTTGGGTGGATCCTGTTGGTTTTATTCTCTGGTTACACCACATTCTGTTTGCCTTAATGTAAAGCTCTTGCAAGCACTTTCTCAACGTATGAAAAACACACCACAAATGAATCTGTTCAATGAGAGAAAGCCCCCTTTGGATTCCATGCACTGTGTGGTCATGACAGAACATTTAATTACTTTCTTGCTTAGGCTCTGACTCCTGAGTGAGTGGTCTCTGGGGGCCCCATGGGTAAGATTCCACCCTCAGCTGGCCTTGCCCAGTTCCTCTAGGAGGGGGCCTGCTGAGGCAGGAAAAAGTGACGTGTGTTCTGCTTCCTGGACTTGAACACTGGGTGAGGGCAGAGAAAGGCAGCTGCTATGAACTCCCCGCTCCTCAAGCAGCTCCTGCCGATCACATGAATCCATCCCATAAAAACTGCTCTTGGTTCACTTTTCCCCAAGCTATTGGAAATAAGCTCCTTGGATTGATGTACATGAAAGAACAAAGAGAAAGGATGGGAAGGAGGAAGGAGAGGGAGGCAGGGGGAGCTGGAAAATGGAGTTAGAACTCAGGCTGAGTCTACTCCTAGAAGACAGGACCCACAACTTCTAGCTTCATAGTCTCAGCAACTGGCTGGGGGTCCCTGGCACCTGGCAGGTCCTCAGTAAATATCTGCTGAATTGATTGGACTCAAGTGGCAAACTTCCACTGGACAAAAGAGATTGAACTTGATGCCTCTGCTTAACTTAGCTTCATTTCACCTAGTGTCCATACAATATGATTTTAATGTAACGTGTTTGATTACTTTAAGATGATACACTATCAAGAAGTCAAAAGGATCTGAATGATATCCAAACACGAACCTTACCTTGCTGGGTCGAATAAGGGAACACTGGGTGAGTGTACTCTTTTTGTTCTGCACACATACTTCCTGAACAGAACTGAGTGCTTGTTATCCAAGATCCCCAGGTCTCCAAGAGGAGATGGTGGGATTATCAGAGTATGAGCTAGAATATCTAGAGTTTTCTGAGGGGATGTTGCACTGAGCCGAGTCTCAAGTTTTCTAGAAACACTTTTTCTCATCAATTAATAAATACTTACTGTACATTATGTGATTGCAACACCCTATTCATCTGTCCTACATTTACTCGTGCATACTGAGGTCCACTCCATACCAAGCCCCATGCTGGGGAACCAGATGGGCATGCTTCCTGCCCTAAGAAAATGATAGTCTACCAGAGCCAAGCAGATAATGCCTTAAATTACTATACAATTAGAGTTGTGATCAATGTTGTGAAAGGAAGAGCGTTTTCTAAAAATAATTAATAGGGGGTCTCAAGTCCGTGTGATGCACTGAAGAGGAGGGTTAGCTTCTTCAGTGAAGGGGCATTTATGGTAGGGCCCGAGTGATGCGTGGAGACCTGCCAGGTGTGCAGATAAGAGAGGGTATGGGGAGAAAGGGTCACCATCACAGAAAAGCGAGACCAATGGGACAGAACCCGGTGCCCTTGAGGAACAGGGTGAGGACCACATGTGGTAGGTAAAGAACATGCATGGCAGGAGAGGATTGGTCTAGCAGACCCAGGAGGCATCCAGCATGGCCACGGCCTGGTGCGGTAAGAAGGCATGAGTTTCCACTGGCTGGGTGGATGCCACCAACACCCCACCAGTCCCCTCAGGTGCACGCCTGGCCAGAATAGTGATGGAAGGCTCCGAAGAGAGGTTGAAATTGACTGGCTGGCCAAGTCCTAGAAGCTGGCTACCGAGGTGTGGAGGGACCCACCACTAAGCTGGAGGAGGGAGTGGACAAGAAGCTGACAAGAGAGCAATAACTAAAAGATCCCATTTCCTATTTATACCTCACCAACTCTCATTGACTTTGGCCTCTGGGACAATGTCTGAAAATTCCAGGGCTGGGAATCGCATGCCGATCAGCCAGTCGATCTGCACATGGGAAGGAACACGGAAGAATCTTCGCTAGGCAGTAGGAGCAACCTCACTTTCAGAAAGGTTAGCATCTGGAGGGTCTTCCCTCTCGGCCCCCGTACAGGAGACCTGAGTAATGTCTAATAGGCTTTTGTAATTTTCTGAAACTGCTCTTGAGTGCACACTTGGATTGAGACCACAAGTTATTTTCCTTGAAATGAGATTCTTCCACCTCGGCTGGCGGGGACAGGGTCCAAGTGCTGAGCACAGGATGTAATCAATTACTCTAAAGAAATACGAAGACATCCTTCTGCCTACTTGGGTAATTCAAATGCATTTTAGGCTGAATGCATTTCCTGACTCTAGATTTCAAGTGAAAAAAATAATTCTAAGAAATAGATTTTACATGTCCATGTGTCCTAAATATTTACTTTTCTTTCACAAGCTGCTTTGACCTCTGCAGCGAGGCAGACCCTAAACTACCGTGGAAAGAACGCGGGGTAGGCATTGGACGATGACTCCTAGACCAACTTCTGATGAGCTCTGTATCTCTGGACAGGTCAGTTCTCCTACTTGAACCTTAATTTTCTCATCTGTTAAATCTAGGTGATGAACTAGATCAGGTGTCGGCAAACTTTTTCTGTAAAAAGCCAGACAGGAACTACTTTAGGCTTTGCTGGCCAAAAGGTCATAAGTACTCAAACTCTGCCACTGTTTTAGGTGAACAGCCATAGACAATGTGTAAATGAATGGGTGCAGCTGTTTATCTTTGACTTTATCTTTGATGCTGAACATTTCATGTGTCAAAAAACAGTCTTAAAATTTTTTATTTCAACATTTAAAACTGAAAGAACCATTTCTTCACTCATGGGCTGTGCAAAAGCAAGCAGGGGGTCAGAGCTGGACTGTGGGCCATCAGTTTGCTCATCCCTGATTAAGTGATTTCAGTTTCCTTCTTAGGCTAGCAGAGCCCATGACGTTCTTGGTCAGGCTTGTCAAGCCTGAGGAAGTAAAATCAGAGGGAGGAAGGTGTCAGTGCTAGGGAAAAGACAAAATCCACAGGAAGGAAAAAAAGTCAGGATCCTAGGCTAAACAAGGGGAGGGAGGGAGGCCAGACAGACTCCTCCTGCTCTGTGCTCCTAGGACCCGGATCTTGCTCACCCAAATCCCCAGGTAGCTAAGAAGACTACACCCAGCAAATTCTTAGCATTCCACCGACAGAAGGCTCCCGCATGAAGCTGGCCTGAAATTCAATGGGCATGTGTTTATTTGTGGTTTCATTGAACATTTGACTTCCTAGCAATGAAAACGTTAATCAAATATATAAATAATTTAATTGGAGGGAAAATAATGCATGATTAAAGTCCAAACTAATCCAACACAAAGACATGCAATTTGCCAGTGGCGCAAGTTCCAGAAAGAGATAGATGGCATAAATTACAGTGTCATGTGCCAACTCGCTCAGCAGGGCTGCTCGGAACTCTCCCCATCAGGACAACCAGGACTGCACTGTCCCCCCCGCAAAAGGCCGAGCCGCCCTCCCCGCCCCGCCGGCCCCGTGCACAGCTTCTGCAGGATTCCATCTTCCAAGCAGGACTGGAAGCATCTGCCTCAGGAAACTGATGGCTGTTGGAACAAGTAAGATCTCTCAGGTGCCCACAGCAAACCAACAAAGTTGCTGTGTCCCCAGCGGGACATGTCTTCAGCCAGGTGAGCTGAGACCCCGCATTCCCATCCCTTCTGCTCCCCACGGCAACCAGGGGACTCAGGAGGAGGGAGAAGCCTCTCTGTCGGCCTGGCCTGGCCATCCAGGCAGTCTAGGAGGCTTCAGTGCTATGGGCAGAAAGGCCTGAAGGGAAATGGGGGAGAGGCAGCTTTTCTGTCATGGACGGCAAAATGGAAGCTACAGTGGCCTTCGCTAAGCTAATCAGACTCATTCTTCTTGCATTGTTATTTTGCTCTCAGGAAAGAACAGGTAGTTCTTCTTCAGTCTAACTGCGAACCCTTCGGATGAAGCACACGTGTGTGCGGTCTATCAGCCCCGATTGTTGGTGGCCCTCCAAATAAAGCTGCTGGTCAAGCGGTTTGGGAACCTGGGAAGCACCCTTCTGCTTGCTCTCTGTCTCCCTCGGCTTTGGCCAGATGCCCCGCCGATTCCCAG